AACATTGAATGTAAATGGTGAACTTGTACCAACAACAAGAAATCATATTCATAAAATTAATTCCCATGATCTTCTTTACATAACATCGTCACCAGATTATTGTGATGATAATGTATTAACTAATAATTCTATTCAATACGCGTGGTTTCAATAAGAATTTCATGTTAGCAAAGGTATTACTCAAACACCTTTTGTTTCCTTCTAGAAATAATTGAATTCACTGCACTCTGTTCAGAATACAATGCAAATATTACCTGCATGCGATACTCTTGCTCTTTCAATGCTCTTAGAAAACACAATAGTTTCAATTCCGATATGCGGATTCGAACTACTAGGTTGTATTCAAGAGATCTACGCAACTTCAAGTCCTCCATCTATCAACATCAGTGAACGATACAGATGGAGCTCTTGAATCGATTGTTTCTAAGGCCAAAAATGTGTGGAAACAAAGGTTTTCGATCACGCTCATGTTGTCACAGTAATGTTTGTATTTAGAAGAAAATTGTAAAGCGTAGTAAAAACCTATACTACATGAAATTTATTAGTTTGATTTGGAGCAATTTTGACTTAGTGATGAATGTTTAATTGTTTGTAAGAACAGTCAAAATCCTTACAGTAACAGCGATGACATGTTAGGCAGTGACGGATGAATTGAATACCGTACATGTTTTTATTAGTATATCTGATTCAATTTAGACTTCATAATCCAGGCAGCTGTGCTTGTTTAATCACTGACAAAAGTTTTTGATAACAAAAATAGAATTTTAAGGTTGCAAATGTTTTTTTTATCAATTTACGTAAGAAAAACATGACCATTTTGATTTTTTTTTCATATATTTGTTAATGACATCATTTATGTTCTCATACATAGTAGAACAATTGAACGGATGACAACTCACTACCATTACACCTACGTACACGACCTATTTATTTCTTATGAATTTTGTCTTTCTAGTAATAAATAGTTGCTGTATAATAAATAAATTGGTTCACTGGACATTTTTTTCTTTTTAATCGTTATTCTCACACCATTTTCTATTTGTACATATAGAAGAAACTTGTCTTTTTAAATACAAAATAAAAGAGCAAACAATTCTAGTTATCTGACGGCAGCAATTATAGTACAAAAGTTAAATGTTACTGTCGCCGATACTTATATTTGGTAATAACGAGAATATATTCTATTCCAATCTTTAACTTCATGTTTTAAAAAATATTACAAAATCAATGTTGTTCTATCAAATTATATTCTGGTGGTTTATTATTAGTACATGCTTTCATTGCACAGCGATTGAATGGTTGTGAGTAAAATTTTCACATTCCTCAAAAAGTCTGACTTTGAAGAGAGAAAAAACGGCAACTAATCCTGCCATTGTGTTATGATTGCTGTGACGAAAAAAGTGCTTTTTACTCCTTGCTCAATTTTGAAGATTAATTTATTTAGTGTTTAAATAAATATATGGGAAATTTATATTGATTACAGTAGTTTTATCCATATTCTAGAGGTATTGCTCAGCATCGTTATACGTGGCTTCGGCCAATTGATTGTCATCGAGCTAGACGTGATGGTTTTGATGTTGTTCATTCGAGATTATGTAGACGGTTCTTGGATTTAATGCCGTATATACATCAAGCGACAAAAGATGTTCTTTCAACATGTACATCAGTTTTGAGTTTACAGCGATGGAATTGTAGTTCATTGTATTACTTACCGAATTTACCGACAGAATTACGTGCTGGTATATATTTTTTTGCTTGCCTTTCAGTATGCTAACAAAATTTTTAATTAAGGAACATCTGAGCAAGGCTATGTTGAAGCACTATCAGCAGCTGCTATCACTCATGCGATGGCACGTCTATGTTCAACTCAACATAGTCCAAGATGTGGTTGTGGTATGAAAGAAAATAGTCGAACTTCAACAAAGGTTTTGAAAAGATTACTTAAAACATTTCAATCTACTGGAGATGTATTTTTTTTCGTAGACAAATGGTTGTAATGATAACATTGATTATGGAATGAAATTTAGTCAAATGTTTACAGAAGCTCATATAAGAAACAGAAAAATAGTGAAATCTAAATCCAACGACAATATACACAGAAAATATCGATATAGAGTAAATAATGGTTTCATTCTCTCATTCATAATAATCGCTGTTAGTTTTTCAGTCTTTAGAATCGAATACAGTACATGCATCATTGACGGACATCGTTTTTAAACATAATAACGCTTTAGGACGACATGTGAGCCAACTTTAAAATATTTCAGTACCACAAATCAATTGAATTCTCATTTTGTTTAGGTAGTAAAAGATAGTTTAGAACAAAAATGTAAATGTTCAGGTGTTAGTGGTTCATGTACAATTCAAACATGTTGGAAAGCATTACCACAATTAGATGTAATTGCCCGAAAAATAAAATATCGTTATTCGAATGCAATTGAAGTAACATTGAATGTAAATGGTGAACTTGTACCAACAACAAGAAATCATATTCATAAAATTAATTCCCATGATCTTCTTTACATAACATCGTCACCAGATTATTGTGATGATAATCTAGTATTAGGCACACATGGAACTCATGGACGGTTAGTATCTAATTTCTTCTTATTATCTATCAAATTTGATATTTTCTAATTTAGACCATGTAATGCCAGTAGAAAATTTAAGAGTGAAGGTAGTTGTGATGATTTGTGCTGTGGAAGAGGATATTCAACAAAAATGTATTTTATCCGAAAACAATGTAATTGTAAATATGTACACTGCTGTTTTGTTCAATGTGAAACATGTGTCGAACAAGAATTTGAACATTATTGTAAATGAAGAAGGAGCATCTGTGCATTATTAATTAGTTTGAATAACTTTTTTTGTAAGAGTTGAAGAGCTCACATTAAATTGTACTTTATCCTACTGAACAGTTATTGTTTACTCGCTCCTGATTCTTAATAGAGACTAATTAGTTTAACGCTTAGATTTATTATTATGTCTTCTTCAGTTTTTTGCTTCAGAAGACTGCTGAACAATAATTTCTAACTAACTTGTCTTTTCGATAAGTTTCTAACGTCCAGTTTAAATCTAACGCATTGAATGAGACTGTTTTTAGCTTAAAGTCAAGTTCATTACATATCCACTGTTCTTCACCTGTCATCGGTGAACTTCGTCGAAGAATATGAAATCGAGCATGAGGCGTTGACTTGGGAAAAGTAGATGGGATCTATAGACTAATATTAAAAAGAAAAATATTAAACGACTAATATTAAAAATCAATTAAATATTTTTCCTTTATTTTAAAATAATTAAATATTTTTCTATCTTACAACAAGAAAAATATTTAAATAAGATAGAAAAATGTTTAATTGATTTTTGATATTAGTCGTTTAATATTTTTCTTTTTAACATTTTGCGGTATATCCGGATAAAGTGAATGTCTTGAAACTTCTTCGTCAGTGAGATGTGTATCATTTCTTTTACATATGGAATGTCGACTCTGTTAAACTTTAAATGCCTCTCGATGCTCACTGATTGAGGATGGAAATGAAATGTTGATGCCATATCACTCCAAGAAACTCCAAGAAACTCTAAAAATTAATCTAGTTGAAACTCAGAAATCAACATAACACTTGATGAGCTTCTTTCACAAGTAGAGAAAAAGCTGAAACTGAAACAATGATAGTTCTAAAAAACCTGTGACTGAAATAACATAAAATATACACGTATTAAGTATAACAAACAAAAAGACTGTTTTGGCAAATTCACTTGAGGTGCATAAAAAACAACAACTACAAAGTCTATTCAAATCACTCATTTCTCAGTTGTACAACAAATTAACAATTTTCTCAAATTAAGTCTGTGAAAAAATTGTTTCGATGTGGGTTTTGTTGAGCCTATTAAACGATGTTTGAGTTTCTTTTTGTCTTTTCTCTTTTTACTGGTATTTCCATTTATGGATCCATTTTGATTTATATCACTAAATGGTAGGGTTGGTTCAGGTACAGAATAATTAAAAGCAAAATTTCCTCGAACAGGAAGGTGAGATTGTAACTGAAAAATAGTATAAAAATGTAGGACGAACATAAGAGAGAAAAGCAGTCCTTACCAACTTTGGATTATGACGTCCAACAAGATCACTGGCGATAGTTTCAAAAAATTCTTGAACATTTTCACCGGTTTTCGCACTTGTTTCAAAATATTTCATACTATTACGAATAGCAAACTGAAACAAGATAAAGGCTGTACAGTAAAATTACTGTTATCATTACCAAATTAGATATCAAAGTTCTTTCACTTTTTTAGTGCAAATTTGTCACTAAATATACTTAAGGAATAAAAGCTTATGCTTCCAGTGTAGCTGAAGACTATAAGAATCATTAAAGAGATACTCTCTAAACAATGTCTTTTAATCCTTTAGCGACGGGAAGCCCATATATAGGCAAATGTAGCGACACTCCTATAACTCAAAAATCGCAACAGCTAGTGACTTCTAATTTTGTGTGGGCGTAGCTCTTACCGAATGCTGATCATCCATCAAGTGTGGATCTCTTTTACTAGATGGTTCGTGAGGTATAAGTAATTTATTCTTTTCCGTAAAATAGCAATAGCTCCTCATCTAAGAAAGATGAAAACTTTTCTTTTTTACTGAAATGTAGCTTTGACTCTACTCTATCTACGATATGAATTTTGTGAGTTGGGAGTTAGTGTGGTCAATGAAATATAACTATTT